GTGAGACAATAAATTTCTGTTATTTGAGCCACTCAATTTGTGGTACTTTGCTATAGAAGCCCTGGTAAACTAACATATTTCTTAGTAGTTTATGTAGGTTTTTTTTTTTTTTCTTGCAACAGAGTCTCACTCAGTCACCCTATGTAGAGTGCCGTGGCATCATAGCTCCCAGCAACCTTAAACTCTTGGGCTCAAGTGATCCTCTTGCCTCAGCCTCCCGAGTAGCTGGGACTGCAAGTGCCCGCCACAATGCCCAGTTATTTTTAGAGATGAGGTCTGGCGCTTGCTCAGGCTGGTCTCCAACCTGTGAACTCAGGCAATCCACCCACCTCAGCCTCCCAGAGTGCTAGGATTATAGGTCTGAGCCACTGTGCCTGGCTAGGGGTCTCTTTAAAAGATTGAGGACAGGCTGGGTGTGGCGGCTCCCACCTGTAATCCTAGCACTATGGGAGGCTGAGACAGGTAAATTGCCTGAGCTCACGGGTTTGAGACCAGCCTGAGCCAGATGAGACTGCATCTCTAAAAAAGAGATGGGTGCTGTGGTGGGCACAAGGCAAAAAAAAAAATCACTTGAACCCAAGAGTTTGAGGTTGCCGTGAGCTATGACACCATGGCACTCTACTGAGGGTAACCAAGTGAGACTCTGTCTCAAAAATAAAATAAAATAAAATAAAAAGAAAACAAATAAAAGATTGAGGACAGGTCAGGTATAGTGGCTCACACCTGTAATCCCAGCACTCTGGGAGGCCAAGGTGGTTGGATTGCTTGAGCGCAGGAGTGTGAGATCAGCCTGAGCAAGAAGTAAGAGACCCCATCTCTACTATAAATAGAAAAACCGTGGCAAAAGGATCACTTGAGCCCAAGAGTTTGAGGTTGCTGCCACAGCCCTCTACCCAGGGTTACAGAGTGAAACTCTGCCTCAAAAAAAATGAGGATGACTGAACTTCCTGGACCTTGACAGAGCAGGGCCGACGTTTTCATGGACACCAGCATCAGCAGAACTGAAACCTGCACCTAATAGCTTCTCCATAAGGAAAGACACCAACTGGGAAGGACCTCCTTGTTGGCCAAGATAGTTTTCCTTTTCTAGTAAAATAGCTCCGTGTGCCGGGGCTACTCACCCGAGCTTCTTGACGATCTTCTCTTCCTCGTGCAGGTATTTTTGTCTCTCTTGCTCCACCAGGACGCGCTGGCGCTGCACGGGGTCCTCCAGTCTCTTCATGGTTTCCATCACCTTGCCACTGATTTCCAGCTCAGCCTTCTTCATCATCGCCCTCAGCAGCTCCTGGTTCTGCAGCTGTTGAGCACAAGAAATCAACCTCTATGAGCTCTGCCTGCGTGACATCTTGGGGACCCAATGCCTTGCCGTTTTCAGAAGCAGCTTTGGGACACCACCCTGCAGCTGGTCCTGTATTTATTTATTTCAGTGAGAAAGGGAAGGGAGATAGATGATGTTGCTCCTTCCACCAATCTGAGTTTTAGCAGCTGGCTGACAACCAGACTTCCGAGTCTGTATCTGCAAAATGATAGGACTATTTCTGTGCTCTGCTCTGGTGGCTTCTTGGACAAAAGGCATAAACTCTCATTGACATATTTTTCTAGCAGCAGCCAAACTTTGGAGCCAAGAAGAGTTTGGAAGAACCCCATGGCTCTCCCTAGATCACTGTGAGACTCTGGGTATGTCGTTACTTACTATCTTCCAGAGATGCACCTTCCTTGGCAGGGCTATTGTGAGGGCTACAAGAAATACTGCTTGCTATAGCATAGGTACTCAACAAGTGGTGATTTGGCTATAAAATATACCAGAGTATAAGTTAAAAGAGAACCTGCATCCCTCTTATCTATTGGGTTCCATGTACCAGATACCATGAAATCACAGACTCTTAAGCAATAGTGTTTGATGATAATGGTGGAAATGATAGTAATTCTAGATGAGCCCAAGGCTCATCTTTTAAATGGAAGCCCACGAGTTCCATACGGTTTCTAGAATATTCTTGCTTCTCCCTCCAGAGAGGGCAGGATGTGGGAGCTCGCATCAGGCTTCACAAGAATTGAGTGAAATGCTTGAGTCCTTGGGGCAGGATGATTTCCTAACAGCATATCTATCAAGTGAATTCGCTCAATCAGCCTCAATAACAGTGATTACATTATGCCTATTATGTTATCCCTCAAGTCCCCCTGAAACGCCAATTAGCAAATTTCAATTGTTTCCTTTGTTTTCTGGTTGCGTGGAATGGTTTACAACCACCATATATTATCCCGTGAGCACGACGATGTGATGTCTGGGCCGACTGTCCGTTATCTGTGCAAATTGAGGGGAAATGTGATCTAACTGTGTCACCGCCTGCTTGAAATCACATCATGCTGTCCATTTTCTCTGAATAAAAAAAAAACATGGCGACGGGGGCCACAAGCAAAGCCACCATTAGGTTCCAACGTCATCACTGCGCGATGATCAACTGGCCTCCAGGGAGAGACAGGCTGGGTTCAATTTCTAGTTTTAACCACCTTGTAGCTGTGTGACCGTGGGCAAGCTATTAATCTCTGTATCCCCCCATTGAAAAAAAGACAAAATAGAGTCTCAGTGAGACAATAAAATAAAGTGGTTACATAGTGTCTGGCACCAGGCTAGCCCTGCCGATATAGCAGCTATTGTTATCAGGGAGCATGAACCTGGGGAAGGCCTGTGGTTTTGTCTGGGAAGCAACCAATAAAAATGTGCCACTCCTGGGTTTCTGTCTCTCTGACTCATGATCGTGCCTTCATACCACCTTTGCTAATGTCTTTTTATTGTGCTCATCAAAACCGCAGCCAGTCAGTCAATATTTTGCTAACAGGCCCCATTTTCAGAGACGGTATACAGAGGATGACTTCCTCATATGCTCTCTGCAGCTCCAACCTGTCCACCAGGTGCTGGGTAGTCTGGCTCCTTGCCATGTGGTTAGTCACCTCTCTCTGCATGTACCCAGCACTCTCTGCTCAGCCACAAGCATCCTTTCAGTTCTGACTCACCAGGTTTCCTTCGGTCACAGGGCCTTTGCACCTGCCATTCCCTCCTCCTGGAATGCTTGTCCCTCCAACTGGCTAATTTCTGCTCTCCACAAAATGATGCCATGCCTGGCATGCAGCAGAAACTTAATAAATACCCGTGGAATGAACGAACCGCATTAAGCAATGACATCGATAACATTAGGCAACAATGGAGAATCCAAAAATCCTTTTCTATCTGCAGTGTCCCATGGACTCAGATATGCCCTGGGCTCTGCTCTGATGCCCTTTCCTTGCCCTGATGGAAGGGACTGTGGTAGGTTTACATGTCAGCATGGTACATATAGGTCAGATAAATATGTCAAATAAATACACATAGCAGTGCTACCTGCTATCAAAACAGTATGCTCAAATTCAATGCCATGTATCAAATTGCACAGAGCTACACCCTTTGAAGGGAAAGGGGAATGGGTGATGACTGGCATGTAAGTGAAGATGAGTAACAAAATGGGTCTCGAAGTTATGATTGCCTGCATCCTACCTGTGAAAGATTCTGATTTAATTAGTCTGAGGTGCAGTCTAAGCACTGGGGATTTTATTTTACTTTTTAAATTTTATTTCATTTTATTTTACTATAATTTTTTTTTTTACAGTTTTTGGCCAGGGCTGGGTTTGAACCCAACACCTCTGGTATATGGGGCTGGTGCCCTACTCCTTGAGCCACAGGTGCTGCCTATTTCATTTTATTTTTGACACAGAGTCTCACTTTGTTGCCCTTGGTAGAGTGCCATGGTGTCATAGCTCACAATAACCTCAAACTCTTGGGCTTATGTGATTCTCTTGCCTCCGCCTCCCAAGTAGCTGGGACTACAGCCCACAACACCCGGCTATTTTTTTGTTGTAGTTGTCATTGTTGTTTTAGCAGGCCCTGGCTGGGTTTGAACTTGCCAGCCTCGGTGTATATGGCTAGTGCCCTAGCCACTGAACTACAGGTGCCAAGCCATGTGTTTTTACTTTTTTTTTTTCTTTTTTCAGAGACAGAGTCTCACTTTATCACCCTTGGTAGAGTGCCGTGTCGTCACAGCTCACAGCAACCTCCAGCTCTTGGGCTTAGGTGATTCTCTTGCCTCAGCCTCCCAAGTAGCTGACTACAATGCCTGGCTATTTTTTTGTTGCAGTTTGGCCAGGGCCGGGTTTGAACCTGCCACCCTCAGTATATGAGACTGGTGCCCTACTCACTGAGCCACAGGTGCCACCCTGTTTTTATTCTTGATGTTGAATTTTGTCACATGCTTTTTCTGCATTTATGAAAACAATTTGTCACCTTGTTCTGTTAATAAGGTCAAATACCTTGATTATTTTTGTATTAAAACGATCTTGAATTCTTGGGATAAAACCCTGGGATAATGTATTATTCTTTTTACACACTGCAAGATTCAATTAGTAACATTTTGCTAAGAATTTATGACATTTATTTTCATGAGGGATATTGGTTTGTGGCTTTTTTTTCTTATTATATCTTTGCCTGGTTTTACTCTTTGGGTATGCTGGTTTCATAAAATGAGTTGGGAATTATCCTCTATTTTCTAAAGGAGTTTTTTCCTTTCAATACTTTAAAGATATCTTTCTACTGTCTTCTGACTTGCCTTTTGTTTCTGATAAAAAGTCAGTGTTAATTCTTATTTTTGTTTCCTTGTATATGATATGTCAAGCCCTTCCTCACACCGATGCTTTTAAGAATTTTCTATTTATCCCAGTTTCTCTCTCTCTCTCTTTTTTTTTAGCAATTTGATTACAATGTGCTTCGCTGCAATTTCATTTGAATTTACCATTCTAGGAGTTTACTGAGGCTTTTTGGTCCATAGGTTACCGCTTTCATCAAATTTGGAAAAATTTTAGCCTTTATGTATGAATATTTTTCTCTTCTCACTTGACCACTTAATATTCTTTCATAAGTCACTAAACTTTAGTCCATTTTTTTTAGTCTTTTGTCTCTGTACTTCAGTTTGGACAGTATCTACTACTAGGTTTTCACGTTGACTGACATTTTGTTAAGTCAGAGTCTTGAGACAGAATCTCACTATGTTACCCTCAATAGAGAGCTGTGGTATCATAGCAACCTCCAACTCTTGGGCTTAAGTGATCCTCTTGCCTCAGCCTCCCAAGTAGCTGGGACTAGAGGTGCCCGTCACAACACCCGGCTGTCATTTATTTCTTTATTTTGCAGTTGTCATTGTTGTTTAGCTGGCCCAGGCTGGGTTAGAACCTGACAGCAGAGTGTATGTTTGCCGGCACCCTATCCACTGAGCTACAGGCGCTGCCCACTTGGACATTTTTTGTATCTTCCATTTCTTGCCTTATTATGTTCATGTTTTCCTTTAAATCCTCAAGAATAACTAGACCAGCTGCTCTGAAGCTGACCAGCTGACTTCATTATCCTTGTCATGTTTGGTTGGTTTCTATTGACTGATTTTTCTTAAGGTAGTAGGTCATATTTTTCATCAACATGTCATGTTGAGTGATTTTTCCTTTCTTTCTTTCTCTTTTCTTTCTTCTTCTTCTTCTTCTTTTTTTTTTTTTTAAAGAGAGAAAGTCTTGCTCTATTGCCCAGGCTGGTCTTCAACTCCCAGCCTCTTCCCATCTCTGTCTCTGGGATTACAGGCATGAATCACTGCACTTGGCCACATATCTAGTAATTTTTGCTTGGATGTTGGGCATGGAGTTTTGATTATGTTGTTTTTTAGATTTTGGACTGCTCTACAAGTTGATTGCTTATGAATCAACTTTGTCCTTTGGAGGCTTATTTTTAAGCTTTCATGGTGAATCTAGGGTAGTCTTTCCCCTATGGCTAGTTTAAGTTCTAAGACCAAGACACAGTCCTTCTCTGATCTCTACTAAATGTCCAGGTGCTCAATAAGGCCTCTTACTCTTGTTTGTCAAAACATGAACATATCTCAGATATGTGTGAGCTCTGGAATATTTAGCTTACAGCCCCCTCTAGGTCTTTGTCTGCTTAGTGTTCATTCATAGTACACAAGCTTGGCTTATTAGTCAATAACAGACTCACACATTTATATAGTTCTTTCTCTGCAGAGCTTGCTTGTATTTGGAACTCTAGTCCATAAATTATACCTGTTTCAGTTCTCCAAACTTTGATCTTATCCCCTCAACTCAATAAGACTGTCAATGCCATGCTTGGGTCATCCTTTCCTGTATTAAGATCTAAAAAGAATCCTGGGGAGAAAGGTAGGTCAATTGTATGTTTGTTTCCTTCTCCTAAGGATCACAGTCCCTGTATTGCCTGTTGTT